TCAAAACGAAAACTAGAATTTTAAATTTAATTATAAAATTAAATCTAAAATCCATAGCTCCGTTTCATTCTGAAGCAATTTTTGGAATAACCTATGAAAAAATTTACTTAATTTATAAGCACAGACAATCTTGATATTTTAAATTGTTATGGTTACGGAAAACAATCATTTTGATAAGGAGTGGTTGGGCTTTAAATTTCGTAGATAACTTATATATCAAATATAAGTTACTTTCAAAATCAGGTTAAGTTAAGTTAGGGTAGGGTGCCTGCACACAAAAATCGATATCTGTTTTTCTCATGTCGTCTGAGTTTTTCAATGATAAATTTTTGACATTTTTATTTAGCCGCTAAATTTATAATTTTATACACAAAGATTTCTTAAAAGGTTCGTCTGAATATGAGTAAGTCGTATTTTTAGTATTTAAAATCTATTCCTACAAATTTAAAGTACTGCTCCTACTTCTAATAACTCATAGACTCTACGATAATTTTTACAAATAAATATATTAGAATTACATTCGTATTTTGAAAAATTATTAATCAAAGATCAAATATAAATGTTTATGCTTCATCTTTCATCCATTTTTCAAAATTAATCATTATTTAGAGAAAATATTTGACAGTCTGCTATTTCATTACTTTGATTAAGTAAATTTTCATTTTTCCGAAACTTAATGTATAATTTTTCATGTATGCACAAAGGACATGGGTCATTTAATGACCTACAAGCTCTAGCTATTCTTTTAAGTGCCAGAAATATTTAGACAGAGACGTTTGATTTCTGTATTTATTATTTTTAAAGGAAATTTGATGTTGGTTCCAACGTCTTTTGAATTCATGCTTTGTGCATCCAGTGTATATTTTAACCATGTCTGGATCTTCAGTAGATGAAATATTGCATTGATAAACTAATTATTCCATACAACATTTATTATTGAGAAGACAATTTTGCGGATTATGACAGTTACATAATTCTTCCTTATCTTTATTTCTTTTTATTTTAAGATCTATATTTTATGATTTTGGTCGAAGTGTTTGCTCACGATATTAGTATTATGTTTCTTAATGATCATTTCTAAGTTTTCAGTACAACTGTAACATAATTTTAGGGTATTTTTTTAAAAATCGTACTGAGTTTACTGTCTCTAGGAAAATTTTTATCAATTAATGCGAGAAATTTTTGCCCTAATTTATTTTTTAACATTTGCCTGTATGGGGTTGTATACAAAATGATTTTTCTCTTTCTGTTTTTTTGTGTTGTGTCCATTTCCATTTTTATATAATTCATTTTGGGGCATTTATAGACGCAATTCTTTAGAGCTTTATTATAGAAATTACTATATTCATAGAATATTTTCTCATTTGCTGAATTTGTACTTATTCCCTTTTCGACAGATAAATGTATATGCTTAATTATAGATGGAGGATGATTAGACTTAGGGTGTATATACAAAGGATTAGTATTGTTTTTTTTTGTAATGTAGGTATATATTATTCATTAAATCTAATGTTATATCAATGAAGTTCACTTTTATCAATTTAGTACTTGCAGTAATTTTCAAGTTCAGGCATTTAAATTCCATGTATAATAGTTTTCTAATTTTATCAGTTTTAAAATTTGTAGTATTCTTTATAACTATAAGACCAGCATCTCTGTACAATCCAATGTCAATAATACTAAGTTCGCGATATGCTCTAATATTATATAATGTCAGAAGACCGCGCAGAGTCCAATGATCCCATCGTGATGTCGAAGTGGTCATTAGAGATTTTAATCCATTGCTCGCCATTATGAATGAGTACCGATTTCTTCGCATTCATAATTATGTTTTTCTACATCTGTTATGTCTGAGTATTGGGTAGTATTTGTGAAAAGTTCTTTTGATATCAATTGATAGTAATTCTCAGTATCAAACTGTATTTGTGTATAATTTGGTTTCTCTTTGAATTAGTAAACCAATTTGCAACTTCTTTGGTATTGATCCAATGTTTTAATCCTTGGTAATCCTTTATTTGTTGGTTGACCTTTTCCAGGATTTTCTTACTAATTCTGGCGATTCCAGGTCGTGTGGGGTTGATAATCCTTGTAGTCGGATTAGCTTCGAAATCAGGTTTGTGATCCGTTATCGTTATATAGCACACTTTTTCGGTAAGTTTACCTAAACTATCACTAATTTTCAATTTATCTGTGATTTTTTACTACTAATATTAATGTTTTCCACCATATTCACGTTATTATAACTGGCCTTTTTATAGTTCTTGTTTAAATCCTTATTAATTAGGTTTTATAGGCCGTTGTTATTAATTCATGAAAATTTCCTGTTTTAACCGATTTTATTAAAGTTTTATCAGTTGCCTTAATATCTTTCACTATTTTGTCCAGACATTTTTGGAAATGGCATTTCTTTTCTTGGAAAGTTATGTTATGTATTTTTTCCAATAAATCATTTTCAAGTTCCCTATTATTTTTTATATATATATATATATATATATATATATATATATATATATATATATATATATATATATATATCACTGAAAATGTTGCCTAGATACACAGAATATATATATATATATATATATATATATATTCTGTGTATTTAGGCAGCATTTTTTTTCAGTGATTCATGTTTCATTAAATAATATAGACAAGTTTGATAGATTAAAAAATTCACGGACATAGTGTGGTCATGTGTGAGGTCATGGGACGCGGTGCGATTTTCGCTTCCAGCGTCTCGTATGCACGATTTTTTCGTTGCTTAGAAATTTTCCATGCAAACCAAAACAGACTATCATTGTCGCTATGTCCGTCAATTCTTTAATTTATTCTAATGTAAATGTCATCTTTGTTAATGGCTTGTGTATGCCGAAAGCTTAGATAGGACTGAAAACCATGTATCAATGTGATGATTTTCATTCGTCTTTCAATGATAATGTTATTAAGCTTATCTGACAATATGAAAGGAATTTACTTAAAATAAATAGACAAATCATGTCTATATTATTTGATAAAACATGCATCAATATATATATATATATATATATATATATATATATATATATATATATATAAATATACTCACTCACGCTATGGAAGCATTCATAAACTTAACCAAAGAGACCATCCCGAAGAGATGCAAGAGATTCCGAAACTGTCTGGAGGCCTTGGTTGAAGCCAATGGCGATGTTATTGGACAAATTTAGTCTTTATTATTTCAAGTTATATTTGTGTAATTTTGGTAAATGTATCTGTTAAAATGAGATGTCAGTGTTATTTTCATTTTTGCGTAATTTAGACGACAATTTATCCCTCGCATTTTGAATTATCGGTCTTATACTATAAAGATGTATTGGTAATTTTACAATAAAAATTGATTGTTGGCAATTTCACAACAAAAATTTGTTGTTGGTAATTTTATAAAACTTCATGCTGTGATTTTTACTAGAAAACTCTATTTTGTCACTTTCTTATTGTTTTGATTTTAGTTTTGGTATTTGACTATTTTCCCATAGCTTGGACCCTAACAAGTGCTACCCACCGGGTCAGCATGAATCTTGGAACAAGAGCAGATAAGAGATTTTCCCACGCCCCCCTCAAAATCTCCAATCTTCCAATCAGAGGCTTTGCTGCCGGATGTGGTTTATCTTCATACCTAAGTCTTAATATGATGTTTTGCTTTTGAAAGTCATCTTCTGTTCCAATGCACTTCCACTAGTGATGCTTAGAAGGGTTAGAGATTAAAATAAGGACGTAGTTACAGTATGAATAGAAATGATATTTAAAGTCATCAGTACATCGTAGGAAAACCAAAATATAAAAAAAGACGTATGAACCAAGGCCAAAAGAAATGGATACCTAGCAATGAATTGAAAGCGCCCAGACGACAGCCAAAACAATTCAGAAGACAAAGAGTTTCGAGAGAAGATTCGCTGCCATTTGATATCAGACGAATATAAGTGGGTGCAGAAGGACAGAAAGCTTGGTTGGTTGATTTTGTTTAACGGCATATCAACACCTCTATGGGTTATTTAATTCCGAAATATATATATATATATATATATATATATATATATATATATTTGTACGCAATCTTATGCTCTCATCAACAGATATTTTCTACATAATGTTATACTAAGACATTTTTGTTTATACATTCTTTTTATAGATACAAATGTCTAAGTAAATGCTCTGCTTAAAATAAACAGTATTAAACAACATTTACTGGCCTTAATGTCCGAGAAATTTTCATAGAAAACATTCGTCTCCCGACAGGAATCGAACCTGTATCCTATACGGAACCGTCATATAGCCTGACGTGCCTTAACCGATTGGGCCACAGAGAATCGTTCGGTTAGCAAGGTCGATATTACTGTCTTTAAACTACAATCTTACACGAATCTCTCACGTACATTCATATCTGCTCAATCGGTTAAAGGCACGTAAAGCTAAATGACGGTTCCGTATAGGATACAGGTTCGATTCCTATCGGAGGACGAATATTTTCTATGAAAATTTCTCGGACATTCAGGCCGGTAAATATTATTAATGCTGTTTATTATAAAACAGAGCATTTACTTAAATATTTGTATCTATAAAAAGAATGTATAAACATAAAAATGTCTTCAAATAATTGTCGGACTTTGTCCATTTCATAATAATGTTCTACATTCAGAGTATACTTATGATTTTTTTTAGACCCTGAAATTCATTGTTGATAATTTTACTATAAAAACGTATTTTTATAATTTTTAGTGTTGCATTGATATTCAATTTGCTACAAAAATCTGCTGTTGTTCATTTTATTATAGAAATTTGAATTTTTTTTACGGGAATCATTATTTGCCCATAGCTTCCAATGTCCTAAAGGATGTCAGTGTCTCAGCTTCCCTCATGTGTTAAAATAATTCCCAGATAGACAAATAATCCTAATCAGAAATCAGAACTGATGTTTAGAAGGGTTAGAAATAAAAATCAGCGTAGTTCTAACATGAATAGAAATGTTATTCAGTCATCAGGACATCGTAGGAAAAGTAAAATATAAAAAAAGATGCAGGAACGAAGGCCAAAAGAAATGGATACATGGCAATGAATTGAAAGCGCCCAGACGACAGCTAAGATAGCAAGTGTCGAGAGATGATTCGATGCCATTTGATATCAAATATCATTTTTTAGATATATAGTTTGCAGGTCATGGTTAGGTTTGGTTTGTTTTGTTTTACGGCGTATCAAATTCAATGTGTTATTTAATGCCGACAAGATTTTTACTGCTGGTAATATTTTTATCTATCTATCTATCTATCTATCTATCTATCTATCTGTCTATCTATCTATCTCAGAATATATTGGTTTGGTTTGTTTTGTTTTAAGGCATATCAACCTCAATGGGTTATTTAATGCCAACAAAATTTAACTACTGGTAATATTTTTTATCTATGTATCTATCTGAGTATATATATATTGGTTTGTTTTCTTTTGTTTTACGGCATATCAACCTCAATGTGTTATGTATTGCCGACAAGATTTTTTACTCCTGGTAATATTTTTTTATCTATCTATCTATCTATCTATCTATCTATCTATCTATCTATCTATCTCAGTCTATTCATATCTATCTATCTATATATCTATCTATCTATCTATCTATCTCAGTCTATTCATATCTATCTATCTATATATTGGTTTTGTTTGGTTTGTTTTTTATCTCAAATATTTTAAAGATCATTGTTTTTATTCAGGCAAAAATCAGTTTACTAAGGATGGAAAATAGAAAGGTGGTTTTGTTTGATTTGGTTTGTTTAATTTTACGGTATATCAAATAATACCTCATCTCAGAAATATAGACAGATACTGAAAAGCTGAAAGTTTGTAATAAATATGGTGACAAAGATGAGGAAAATAGTCCGAATAATGTAAATAGTCTACATAATACCTCATCTCAGAAATATAGACAGATACTGAAAGGCCGAAACATTGTAATAAATATGGCGACAAAGATGAGGACAATAGTCCGATTAATGTAAATAGTGTACATAATACCTCATCTCTTAAATACAGACAGATGCTGGAGGGCCGAAACGTTTTAATTAATATGGCGACAAAGATGAGGACAATAGTCCGAATAATGTAAATAGTGTACATAATACCTCATCTCAGAAATATAGACAGATACTGAAGGGCCGAAAAAAAATTTACTCGAGCTCCTCATAGAGGGGGATGTGGCACAAGGCCGGCTTTAACGTCTGTTCTTTTCCGAGCCCGTAGGCCTTGGCAAAAATTCCACGTAGACCTCTTAATAACGGGGTTCGGTGTCTCTACCTCCCTAGACGAGGCTGCCCTTCTGGTTCCTCTCTACCCGAAAGCAGAGAAATCCTCCTTTTCATCAACATGAATTAATCGAATTGTTTGATTGATTGATTCCTTTTCTACAGCTTATCAACTCTTTGAAGGTTATTTAAATCCAGAAAATAATTTTTTTAGATTGTAATATATATATATATATATATATATATATATATATGAGATGGCTGTCGACTCGTTAAACGAGTAGGGACATCGCTGACAGGTTTAATCCGTGGGTTTAGTTCTCGTGAGAACGACAATGACTCCTGGCATTTTTCAAGGGCATTTGCCGGTAATTGAATTCGGGCGGGAATTGGAACTCGACTCCCCAATTAACAATTCCGAATCGTTATACATTACAACACCCACACATGTCTTAGAGCACCTAGTATTCTCAAGTGGTCATCCATTTAGCCAGTGACCAGGTTCGACGTTGCTTAACTTCACTGATTGTACGGGAACCGGGGTTTTAACGTGATATGATCGTACGAAAACAAAAGAAAAAAGATAATATATTATTATAGAAGCTGAATTGAGAAGTCAATGAAAAAGTCGTAGAAAATGGCGGGAAAACAACAAGCGAAAATGGACCCAGTTGATGGATGAAGCAATTCAGGATATAGGATTTTAGAAGTAGTTTTAAAAGAAATGAACTCAAGCTAAGATTTTGTAATAATTTTAAATTTGGTTGAGGAAAAAATCAAAAACTGAAGAAAACTATTCTGTGTAAAGAAGAGATGAGAAATAATGAAAGTAGCCTGAAAATAAATCCATGAAAAAGATTGTCTTTTTAAACTATCAAAAACCAAAAATTTTATTAAATGGCGAAAGCTACGGGGAAAATATTTTTTCGTTATTTTGACGTTTTGATGTATGGGGGTTTATGCTTATGTGTTGTTTTCTTTTTATTTCTGTTGTGTTTTTTCATGTTTTCTTTTGCTTTCTGGGCTGGGATATATATATATATATATATATATATATATATATATATATATGATGGCTGTCGACTCGTTAAACGAGTAGGGACATCGCTGACAGGTTTAATCCATGGGTTTAGTTCTCGTGAGAACGACAATGACTCTTGAAGCCAGCCGGTTATTCTGTAGAAAGGCTTGGCCTCTTTGATAAATTCTGTTTATATGTGAATTCATCAACCATGATACTTTACGTCAGTTGTATAGATATGAGTTTGTGACCCTGATTTTCACGCTTTTGCGATCATCAGACAAACGTGTATATTTTATTAAATAGAATTTATTATGTTTGTTTGTGTTTGATTATATTTAGTTTTGGGAGAGGAAAATCCTCCTCTGTGTCCGTTTTGGGCTAACACTCTTACACAAACACACATACATACAGGTGTACGCATTATATAGTTCACGCAAACACACTTATATAGGGTGTCCATAGAGTTCGTGTGCACTTTAAAAAGTTTATAACTTTATTTGTATTTGCGATAGAAATAATTTGTAAAACGGATTAGAAAGAAGTAAATTTATATTTTTTAAGGTTTTATTGAAATTTTATTTAAGTTTCAACATGTCCTCTATCATTAGCAAGACAAAGGGTAATGCGATTTTGCAGTTCACGGAAAACATTTGCCAACTGATTTATAGTAATGCCGGAAATCACATTAGTTATTTTAGCTATACTTAAAACTAGGTACATTAAACTTTATAACATGTTTTACAGATTATTTCTATCGCAAATACAAATAAAGTTATAATTTTTTAAAGTGCACACGAACTTTATGGACAGCCTGTATAAACAACCCAAGATTAGGCGCAGATAAACATACATGCGTTTGAGCATATATACATACGCAGTTGTAATCATATTTCGGTGTCGGGACTGCAGATAGAGAAGTTCTTTCAACAAGGGGGAGGTTAGGTTGTTCTTGGCCGCCTGCTTTGTCATACGAAGGGTCACACATTTATATCCATACAACTGAATATCACAGATATTGAGCACTTTCCAATAAATAGCGCGCATATATAATATATATGCGAGAATTGCTGTCATATATGGTCTGGTGCTCCCGCTGTGCGTCTCGAGGTCCTCAACAAAATCCAGAGATGAATATGCAATATGATACGTGCTGATCTGGCATCTAATCTACTTTCCCGCAGACGTGCCATGGCTTCCCTCTGTCTCTTCTATAAATATTTTCAGGGCAACTGTTCCGACGAGTTGCTTTCGCTGGTTCCCAGACTGCAAGAATTTAAGGCAGCTACTAGGCTAGCATTTCGATCCCACCCTTTCACTGTCAAAACGGTTAAAAATAAGCGTCTCTTCTACTCAGCTTCTCGCACTCCCCGTCTGTGGAACTCCCTTTCCGTTACTTACTTCCCCGATGACTATAATATTCAATATATATATATATATATATATATATATATATATATATATATATATATATTCATGAATCATTCGTACTAAAACAAATATAGAGGTTAATGATTTAAATGGCGAGAATACATCGTCGCAAACAATATAAATAAGATACATCAACCCCGAACCTGTATATGAATGATATGATCCCTGTTTATAAATTCCAGTTGCATAAGGTCTTTTTAATTTTTTTACAAGCTTTCGTCTGTTTTTACAGACATCATCAGGTATGGCAGTAGACTTTGTTCTTGTTTATACTTCTCAGTAATAAGAGGACAACGAAAATAGAGATGTAATCCGAAAAAATGCTATGAGAAATGTGTTATTGTTTTGGAACGTGCGGTCGCAACGCTGAGTTTGAATTTAAATTTTAAGGTTGTGCGTTTTTGTACAAATATAGCAATAAGAGAATTCTTTTTACTGGTAGAATGAACTATATTGTTCAATAATTACAGTAATGTCACACTTATTATCCGAGAGTTGCACGTTGGATCAGTTATTTTAATTTCAATTAAAAGGTGCAAATATAATTTATAAATTCATGAATCATTCATACAAAAAACAAATATAGAGGTTAATGTTTTAAATGGCGAGAATACATCGTCGCAAACAATATAAATATTGTGAGACCGGAACTACCTACACAATAGACTTTTCCAGGTCTATATTAAGTATGCGACACAACACTCTAGACAGAGAGATAGAGAAACAGTGAGAGACGCGTAAGACTGCCAGTATTGGACACTAACATATAGTAAGCTCCGCTTACACTATCTCTGTAACTTGTTAATATATCTTTCTTACATCTAAATCCGTGTTCCGTGTTTTCCTTCTGTGGTCCCAACTTTGGCCCCACATCAATAAATAAGATACATCAACCCCGAACCGGTATATGAATGATATGATACCCGTTTATAAATTTTATATTTGCACTTTTTGATTGAAATTAAATATATATATATTTTGAAGCTAATTTTAAGGGCGTCGCATCATACAGGAGATATAAAAAACAACATATGTACAGCGTTCTGCAAGCTATATATCCATTTACTGTAGTCAAATTAGCTTCCAAATTAGGTCTTCAAAAGTCGCAAGCTACGCGAGCATATATATATATATATATATATATATATATATATATATATATATATTCAAAAGTTAGAAATATTAAACGCTTCACACAAACTTTAAAAAATGTGAGCATTTTTACACATCGTCAATATCTATCTATCTATCTATCTATCTCAGTCTATTTGTATCTATCTCAGTTCGTAACTATCTCAGTCTGTTCGCATCTATCTATCTATCTATCTATCTATCTATCTATCTCAGTCTGTTCATATCTATCTATCTATCTATCTATCTATCTATCTCAGTTTGTTTATATCTATCTCAGTCTGTTCATATCTATCTATCTATCTATCTCAGTCTGTTTATATCTATCTCAGTCTGTTCATATCTATCTCAGTCTGTTCATATCTATCTATCTATCTATCTCAGTCTGTTTATATCTATCTCAGTCTGTTCATATCTATCTATCTATCTCAGTCTGTTTATATCTATCTCAGTCTGTTCATATCTATCTATCTATCTATCTATCTCAGTCTGTTTATATCTATCTCAGTCTGTTCATATCTATCTATCTATCTATCTATCTATCTATCTATCTATCTATCTATTTCAGTCTGCTTAAATCTATCAATATGCTAAAGCGTTTCTTTTCCAGGCGGGAGAATATATTTAAGAATATACATTTTTTGGCTCGTCAAAATGTGTAAATATTGCATGAATACTGACATGTATATACAATTTATTGTCTGTATTAGTGTGTCTGTGATTTGTGTATATATGCGCTTGCTTTTCGCCCATAAATATGTTCATGCGATTGTGTTTCGTATCGTGCCGTTATTGTTTTATTGTTGGCGGCAAAATATCAATTTCCACCATTTCTGGAATCGCATTTCTCTAAATTTACATGTCTGTCGTGGAGATGATTATTTCTTGACTAAGATTATTTGCATTCTTATCTTAATTAACGAGAAACAATTCTATCTTGAGACTATTAACTCAGCCCCATCTCCAGCTCCACCTCTCGTTTGCACGCGCACAAACGCACACACGAACACCAAAAAATAAAGAAAAAATGTCACTAATCTGAAATGTTTAAAAAAGAAAAATAGATCGAAAACTATAAGCAGTAATAATTGCTGATATCCCTCGAAGAGTGGACGGATAGGTTCGTCTACGATACTCTGGAGTCGTTATGCTGAAAGTAGCATCATTCAGCTAAGTGATAATCTTTTACTGTTATTAACCCTATTCATATATATATATATATATATATATATATATATATATATATATATATATATATATGGGGGTATGTATATATATATATATGTATACACATATGTGTGTGTATATATGTATATATACACACACACACACATATATATATGTATGTGTGTATATGTATATATATATATATATATACATGTGTGTGTGTATATATATATATATATATATATATATATGTGTGTATATATATATATATATATATATACACACACACATATATATATATATATATGTGTGTGTGTGTGTATTTATATATATATATATATATATATATATATATATATATAAATTTTCAATAGCCTCAACAGATAATGGTAGAAAGTGATGCGTAAAAAATGGTTTAAAAAATTTAGTTTTATTTTATATTCGTAATTATTTATAAAAGTGTAACCTATTTTTGTCCGAATAGGACTAAGTGGAGAAGTTTAGTTCCTTTTGAGATTCATTTTTTTCAGTTTTTTTTTTTGTTTTGTTTTTTGTTTTTTTTTTCCATGGTGAGTTGGTTGTTGGATATACGAAGCCGACGGATGTATAACGTTAGCCGACTCTACTGTAATCAAATTTTCCTCGCTCCAAACTCACCACTCATTCCCAAAGTTCGCACTAACATTAACATTACGAAGTGTCGTAGATGAAAATGTCCACACTGGACAATCAACAACAGAATGCGTTTTCCTCCACTTAACAATAATTATAGACAGTAAAATAATACCTTCCTCAGGTTTTGAATGCCGAGTTTTCCTTCTCCTAGATTGGTTGACAAAGAAAGTTAAAGAGCCTAGTCTGCTTTGATATTTACATCGTAATAAGAAATGAATTTCATATTTTTCACCAGGGCATTTGCGTAATTTCCACTGGAATTCGAACTCAGCTCTCCGATTTCATATTACTAGGCGTTATACATTAGACCAATTCTTTTGTGTATATGTGTATGTGAGTCCATGCGTATGTGCGATATATATATATATATATATATATATATATATATATATATATATATATATATATATATATATATATATATATATATATGTATGTGTGTGTGTGTGTGTGTGTGCATGTTTCATTACAAACGACAGACAAGGTACTACGGTTAAGCTTTTTATTTAATTTTTCTTGTGTTCGAACAAGAACTTTCTTTTCTGGACAAAGAGTGTGTAAAAACTGTCCAAATGTTTTATAGTTCCAAGCGCTTTCGTCTCTATCTTTAGCCATTATCAAGGATGATTTGATTTTTCAGCTTAATTGAGTGTGTGCATTATATGTATGTTTTAGTGTGTAGTAGGGATGTTTTAATTTCCGAATATGGTTATCGCATTGTGGCCATGTTCGTATTTTATATTGTTAAGAGTTGGCTTTTTCTTTTTTATCATTAAAGCTTCCATTATTTTTAGTCTTTTTTTACAGGTGTATGAAGTTATTATATTTGTGTTTTCTACTAGTACATTTCTAATGGAGTCTGGTAAATTTGGACAGTTTTTACACACTCTTTGTTCAGAAAAGAAAGCTCTTGTTCGAACACCGTAGTACCTAAAAACTACAGCAATCGGATTTGAATCACTGACCTCTCCTACACATTGTAAAACTTCAAATTCACTCCATCAACAAAAAAGCTAAACTCTTCAAGAAACAGTTTAATATACTCGAAATCCTACCAAAAAACAAAAAAAAAAAACAAAAAAAAACAAAACAAAGCGAACGCCAAACTAGTAAAACAGAAACAAAATAAATGGGCCAAATGAAATTACAAACAAACAAAAAAACTGGAAACATGAGGCATTGCATGACAAATACCTAAAAAAAACCCCAAAAAACGAAAGAAGCAGATGGGGACCAACAGAAAACACATCAGTGGCTGAGGAACACCGGGTTGAAGCTAAGACACAAGGCAGGCCTAATTATTGCAGCTCAGGACTAAAGCGCTCGCAATCAGATCCTATCATAGTCACATAATCAAGGATGAAACCTAATCAAAATGCAGGATTTGTCGGCCATATTATCTCAGGATGTCCGGAACTCGCAAAAAATGAATATACTTACGGACCTAACAAGATAACGACATATATGCATTAAAGATATGCAAGAAGCACAAAATCGAAACCACTGAGAGATGGTATGAGCACCAACTAGACACAATTAACCAAAATATCGATGTAACTATCCTCTGGGACATGTCAATTCAAACTGACAGGAAAATAAAAGCCGACAGACCTGATATTATCATAAAAGACAGGAAATTCAGGAAGTATAGGCTTATTGACATAGCAGTAGCATCTGAGAGAAACACCTTCATGAAAATTATGGAGAAATTGTCCAAATACAAGGACCTAGAGATCGAGATTAACAGGACGTGGGGAATGACGACTGAGACTGTACCAATAATAATTAGAGCTGTAGACCACGTGAGAAAAGGAATGAACAGTTTTACTAAGTGTTTCCAAAGTAATATCAACATAGAAGCTGCCCAGAAAATCGCTCTACTAGGAACATCTCATATACTAAGAAAAGTGCTATCAATTAAATGACAGTTCTACTACAGGGACTAAGGACCATAGTATGGATCCGACTCTACAGGATACAAAGCAAGCAATATAACATACACAACAGCAACAACTAATAATAATACAACTACTAATAATAATATTTAAGTCTCCATAAATGAATGCTTTCGTATCTCATAAAATAAGCTTTTAGTCGAGATAATGAGAACAATATCGATTCAGATATTTTTTTTATTTCTATTAACTGTCCTATTTTTTTTTGCCTTTCTTTTGTTAGTATTGACAATATTTCCTTTTTTTTTTATTTATTGATTTTTTACAGTTGGCCTCTAATCGAATGCATCAAGTTTTGCAAGATATTTTAGACCTTGCAAGCTGCAAATGGTTGTCTAGTCAACCGAATAATTGTGGCATTAATTCCGTTAAGAGTAAAAGTAAGCGTCAACGCGGATTGCAGTTGAATCAGTAGTGACAGGATTAGTGAGCATCGACAAGAAACTGACATTAGTGTCAGATATTATACTGTCACCGGAATCTATAGCTTAAATTTATAACGAAGGCGAGACGACCATTTTAATAATGGTGGACGTTTGCTTAATTTATTACATTATTTTTAATCAGTGTCTTTCATTTAAAATCCTCTATTAAGATATTTTACCGCCTTGGATGCTCTCTTTCACACGTTTTTCCTTCTCAAAGAAGCGGATAAAAAGCAGAGACGAATAACCGAACATAATGTAAAATAAAATTCACAATTCATAACTATTAAATTGTCTAAATCCTCCTACTATTTTTTTATCGTTGCAAGAGACAGATCAGGACGAAAATAGAGGTACTGCTGCCATATATGGGCAGAAGCTACCCAGTATTCGGTTTCTATTTTCGAGAGGAAGTACTTGACTCTTCCTGCTATCATCTATCTTTACAGGAGCCAGATCAGGTCGAAAATGGAATACTGCTGCCATATGTGGACAGAAGCTACGCAGTATTCGGTTTCTATTCTCGATAGTATTTACTTGACTCTTCCTACTATCATCTACCTTCACAAGAGCCAGATCAGGTCGAAAATGGAGTACTGCTGTCATATATAGACAGAAGCTACGCAGTATTCGGTTTCTATTCTCGATAGTATTTACTTGACTCTTTCTGCTATCATCTACCTTCACAAGAGCAGGATCAGGTCGGAAATGGAGTACTGCTGTCATATATGGGCAGAAGCTACCCAGTATTCGGTTTCTATTCTCGATAGTAAGTACCTGACTCTTCCTGCTATCTTCTCATATTACAGGAGCCAGATCAGGCTGTAAAAATGGCTACAGCTGCCATATAGAGGCAAGTACTACCCAGTCTTCTCTTCCTTGTGGTTGCGGAAATATTTTCCACCCTACAATCTATGTCTCACAGATAAGTTGTTGCGAACCTGTCGCTGCACTCTCCCTAATTTCCCTGGAACGTTGTTCAGATGAACTAAACTCCTTAGTTCCACGAGTTCTAGTCTTTGCGTCTAGGACCCGCAATTCTACGAACATTGTAGCGAACCATTCTCATTCCATTCGTAATCCTTCAATCACGAGTTCAACACGAGAGGCTTCTTTTCTACAAACCGCCCCCTTGTGGAACCGTCTCCCTGATTAGTACAATCTTAACCTGTTCAAGTCTCGCGTTAACCGTTATCTTCCGCACATATCTGCAAAAGGTGTGTCTCTTACTTTGTAACCCACTACCTCAAGTGACCCTCGTGCCTTTTATGGGGTGTACATCATATAAAAAAAAATAAAAGCAGCTTTTGCAGTCGGATAATTGTCCTCATCTTTATTGTCATTATCATATCACTTCGGCAGTTGACTCTTCCGGCATTCATCTGCTGTTTGTCGGTCTTTGTAACCTACATAGAATTTCGAACTGAACACTTTATTTACTCTACAGGGTAGATTGTTCTCATTCTACTGGCGTATCTCGTCTTATTCATTGTTTAGGACTGCTCACTTATTGCTCTGTTTCCAAATCTGCACTACCCGCATCTGGGATTGAACCCCCAATTAAGGCGCCACATTCACAAACCAACGCTTTAATTCTCTAAGCTATTTTTACTGTCTAACCAACATGCGGCTCAAGCTCTAGTCAAAGGTACCGAATTTGGTTGTTTCACAAAAGGCATTATTACGTGCAGATTATGAGGATATGTAGGATATAAATTAACATTATAGTGACCGATATGGGAGTCTGTTCCTCAAAGTAGCATATTTTTTTTAAGCATTTCACTTCAAGCAAGGGGTTACAGAAAGTGAGAGCAAGAGTAAGGAGGAGTGTTTGATGAAAGGATATAGAGAAAGACAGGGATCACGATCAACATATCAGAAAATGTTCATTGACATTACATTTGAATATTTGAAGATTCTATATATCTATCTATCTATCTATATATATATATATATATATATATATATATATTTAAGCAAATCACACCAAGTAAGGTGTGAGTGCCCCTAGCACACAAGGGCTTACAGATTGTGAGAGCAAAAGTAAAGAGGGGTTTATGAGGAAAGGATAGAGAGAAGGACGGGGATTAGGATCAAGGCATCAGAAAATATCGATTGGCATTACGTTTGAATATTTGAAGATTATAGCGATCAGGGAAGCATATAAGAGGAAGGGAGTTCCACTGACGAGATAAGAAGCTGTTGGAGACGGTTACATTTGGCCATGTCGAAAGGGTGGGAAGAGATGCCAACCTAGTAGCACGATTAAATTCATACAGTTTGGAAACCAGTGAAAGTAGCTCTTCAGAGCACTTGCCATGAAATTACTTGTTGAAAACACAGAGGGAAGCTATATCACATCTGTGAGAGAGTGACTGTAGACGAGATGCCAGACGAGGACTTATCATATTGTATATCCGTCTCTGAATTTTAAAATTTCATCCGAGTGGACAGCCTTTTTACCAAATGAATAGGTGGGTAATGAGGATGATTCGAGCATGTGTACGCGGCATGTGGGTTCAACGTATAAAAGCTTGAGCGTTGTATTTGTTGAATATATGGCAAAATAGCTTAAGGAATAAAGAAGTTGGTTTGTGAATGTGCCGACTTTAATCCCTTTTGTCACATTCGGTATCGACGTGAGCTCATTGAAACATCCCCGTACAAAAATAAGGAAGGCCTGAGAACTTATCCACCGAAGGATGAATTGTACTTCTCAAGGTATTAAAAATTTCTTATCGAGAGTTTTGTGATATGTTCTTTTAAAAACTGTTCTGCGTGTTGTTTTTTTAAATCGATTATAAGTATTAAGATATGTTTTAGATGCGAAACATATTTCTATTATCTTTTTAAAAAATGTATTTGTTTTTAAAAAGAGATTTGAAAAAATGATTTGTTGATGTTTGGAGATACTTACATGCGCAGAAGGACTCAAATTCCACGGAATGACAAGGCTGTATCAATCGGCAAAATACTACGTAGTGAAAATATCCTTTCGAACTCCAAACCCCGCGACAAACGTTTTCATATATAAACAACAAAAACAAAATCACCTAAAACATAAGCTTAACAACCTTTACATCCGAAGTAGATGGAGAGAGATCGGTAAGCCGTATCTAGACCACCCAGTCGGCTGAGGCTTCAGAATAAACTGACTGCACCCCTGCAGAGGGGTAACCCCACAAATGAGGCATCCTGGGTAAGACGATAAACTAAATCGGCGTCCTGGGTATAAACTACGTCTAACAGAAAGGATTCTGATCAGGAATTTTTGAGAAGCGTGGAACCACCTCTTAATTGCTGGTATTCCCAGGTTCATCCTGACCCAGGGTGGTAGCACCTGTTATGGTGACAAACTATGGGCAAACATTTTACCCCAAAACTGGGGTCAAACACTATGAATGTGTAAGAATAGGTTTTAATATTAGCAATAAATGTTTGAAGAAAAAATTATTGCCAACAATACATTATTACGAGCAATACATTTATGTACACTATTTACATTATTCGGACTATTGTCCTCATCTTTGTCGCCATATTTATCACAACGTTGTTCAGGTGGTTGGAATGTCCAACCACCTGAACAATGGCCGAAACGTTATAATAAATATGGCGACAAAGATGAGGACAATAGTCCGAATAATGTAAATAGTGTACATAATACCTCGTCTTAGAAATATAGACAGATACTGAAAGGCCGAAACGTTGTAATAAATATGGCGACAAAAATGAGGACAATAGTCCGAATAATATAAATAATGTACATAATACCTTATCTCAGAAATATAGACAGATACATTTATGAAAAAAAAAATATTACGAGGAACAAATTTTTGAAAGAAAAATATTACCAGCAATACAGTTTGGGAAAAAAAAATAACCAGCAATGAAAATCTTCGTCGGCATGAAATAACACATTGAGGTTTATATGCCGTAAGACAAAACAAACGAAACCAAACCAAACCCAATCTAGTGTTAAAATTTCTATAACTGAGATGAACGCTTTAAGGTTCGGCTTAAAATTCTCATCTGGAATAAGAAAAGATGACACACTTACCACCTTTAGCAAAAACCATAGATTCGAGCCCACAGAATTTGAAAATGGTTTCATACAAGGTAACTTAGCAACCACTCTACAAATGCCAAAGAAACAACACTAACCAGGAGACAGCTATTATCATAAAAAAAAAACACTTACTCAGGAATTAAAAGCATAATCATAACTCAATCCGATAAAGGTGACGGAATCAACATGATATAAACCGACGTCTACATTGAAAATTTTTAATCCCATTTAAAGGACGATTATTCTTACATAAATGCCAATGAATAACAAGTAAATATTGACACATAAATATAAGAAGAGTTAAAAAAAAAACTGTTAAAGAATGTAAAACAAGTCCAGGAATTGACTTAGAGAATACCACCTTACTCCGCCAAAACACACAAACTCAACATATACATTGGATCCACTGCATCTAGAATCAACAGAGGACCCCACAAATTAGCTAAAACAATTGCAAAAATACAAAGGACGTTCCCTGGCACCATCAAGCCAACACACATTAAAAGTCTGTTTAATCCAGAGGATAGGAAACAGACACACACATACACACACATTAACTATAGAACACACCTATTCTATAGTTAATAGACTCTCCCACCTATAATAAGTACGAGTAGTAAGAGTAACGTGGGGGGTCACTCAGTGAGTGGGTCAGTCAGTCGATGTCGGACGACAGTTAGTCGAACACTAAAGTATCAGCGACCACAACTAGATTACTCTGCATTATACCTATTATATCAAGTTCCTTATATATATATATATATATATATATATATATATATATATAAGATAAACCTAATGATCTAGGCAAACCTACATAGATTTCACCGAAACGGATCGTCAGGGTACTGCTGGCCAGCATTACACTGACGATCCGTTTAGGTAAAACCTAGGTAGGTTTGCCTGGCTCATTAGATTTATTTAGGTTTGCTCTGCTTTTTTGTATTGAGCACTTTACGTAGTTGCCTTTACTCGTTTTGGAGGTATTTTTTTTGTACTTTGAGCTTGAACTCTAGACGATTGTCTTCGCCTTAGTTTCATGTTCTTGGTTCTTTTTTATTCCTCATTTTTCCTTGGGTACTAGTTTGTTCTACTACAAGTCAAAATATCCAAGGTTTTTCCAAGCGAGTACCACCATTTATATATATATATATACATATATATATATATATATATATATATAGATAGATAGATAGATAGATAGATGGTGCGTCTAAATTATGTAAAAATGAAAATAACGCTGACATCTCATTTTAACAGATATATTTACCAAAAATTACACAAGAATATCTTGAAATAATAAAGAGTAAATTTATTGAGTAAAATAGCTATTCCTTTCAACCATGGACTCCTGCATCTCTTCTTGGCGTTCTTTTTGTTTCAGTTGGTGAATGCTGCGAGAATACTTAATGTTTGGCGTCACAAGGAGTTTGTTGGTGTCTCGCTCAACTACGCCCCACTCATAATAATCAGTGGGGTGCAATCTGGCGAGATAGGTGGTTAAATGTAACGAGTGATGTGGTCGCAGAAATTCTCTGACAACCATGACAGCGTTCTCCTGCTTGTGTGACATGGTGCAGAATCCTGTTTTCCATACATAACTACTTCCAGTAGCAACCTTTTTGACCCAGGCCAACACTATTTCCTCAAGGTACTTAATATTGCCCTTCGTGGTGAGTCTGAGGCTCTGTGATCAATTGACCTTACTATACGTTGCAGTCGACAAAATCAAAGACAAACATGATATATGGAAGCAGAAAGAAAATATTCGCCTATTTTTATTTTTGTGTTGAGTGTTTTTTTTATTGGTTACGTTTATTTGTCTTGTTCCTTTGATTTGGTTTGGTTTGCAGCATATCAACCTCAATGGATTATTTAATGCCGAAAATATTTATATTACTGGTAATCTATCTATCTATCTATCTATCTATTAACCAGATATCCTTATCTATCTATCTATCTATCTATCTATCTATCTATCTATCTATCTAACCAGAAATCCGCATCTATCTATCTATCTATCTATCTATCTATCTATCTATCTATCTATTAACCAGAAATCCTCATCTATCTATCTATCTATCTATCTATTTATCTATCTATTAACCAGAAATCCGCATCTATCTATCTATCTATCTATCTATCTATCTATCTATCTATTTCAGTATACATTGGTTTGGTTTGTTTTGTTTTACGGCATATCGACCTCAATGGCTTATTTAATGCCAACAAGATTTTTATTGTCGACAATATTTTTTATTTATCTATCTATCTATCTATCTATCTATCTATCTATCTCAGTATATATTGGCTTGGTTTAATTTGTTTTACGGTATATCAACCTCAATGGATTACTTAATGCCGACAGATTTTTTTTTTTTTTGCTGTTAATATGTTTTTCTTCAAAAATCTGTTTCTGGGAATATTTTTCCGTGAAGAAATCTATAGCTGATCTTATTTTTTTCCAAAGAATGTATAGCTGTTTGTATTGCTCGTACTTTTTTTAAAAAAAGGATTGTTGATAATAATTTTTCCTTCAAAAATTATTGCTGACAATATATATATATTTTATTACAAAGTATTTCTGGTATTAACACCTATTTTGACACAAGTTTGGGTGTCAACTCTTTGACCATAGCTGGGACCCTAACAGGTGCTACCACCCTGTGTCAGGGTGGATCTGAGAACACCAGCAATTAAGAGGTGGTTCCACGCTCCTCAAAACCTCCTGATCAGAAGCCTTGCTGTTGGACGTAGTTTATCGTCTTACCCAGGACGCGGATGTAGTTTATCGTCATACCCAGGACGCGGATGTAGTTTATCGTCATACCCAGGACATTATCTTGTTCGTGTGCATAAATCATGTGTCTATAATTATCATGATTCTATGCAGGAATCAGTTGATAATATGTGTATTCTAGCGTGTTTGTGTATGTAGTAAACACTTTTATTTCTGTGTTGTTGACTGAGAGAAGTTTTATGGTCAAGAGGAAAATAGGTTACATCGATTATGGTAGCTGTTAAAATAATATTTGACTCTTTAAGTATGAAGTGTATTTATTGATGGTAATATATTTATCAGGATTTCTTATAAGTATTTTCTACTTAATAAATTGTGTTCTTTTCTTAACATTGTGGCGTTTGTGAAATCTCTGTAATGGCCTATCGTATTTCTGCGTGTAAGTAACGAATGTAAAGGGTTGTCCCAACGTATGTCTCTCTTATGTTAGTAGATGGAGGGTCTTAAATTTCTTGACGTTTCACCAATATAACATTTCAGGCATTGCAGACATTTTATACTGCGGTGCTTGGTTTATAGCTAACTAATTGTTTTATTATCTTTGGAGTGGTGTTAATGATTTTAGTGTTGGTGATATCTAGTTAGTTTTCAAATTTTGTAGAAAGAATGTTGGAAGATAGGATAATGGCGGTAGTCTCTTTGCCTTCGTCGGAGGTAACTACCTTTTTGTAATTATGGATGCTTTAAGATCGTTTTTTTTTTTTTAGCGTTGAGGATGAAATGATGAGGGTAGTGAAGAAATTTAAAGGTTTTCCTGATGGATTTCTCTTCTTCATCTAGGTATTCTGTTTCGATTATATTTTTGGGGTGTAGTGGCAACAGCAATTGATTAAATCATTCTAGTTCGTGGGTTTTCGGTAAATAGTAAAACCTAATTTGTTTTTATTTCTTAAGAGTATATCAAGGAAAGACAAAGTTTCATTAATATCATGTCCATGTTTGAATTCGATGGTAAGTTCGTTGTTGTTACCTCTTTTTTATGTCTTGTTTCATTGTTAGGCATTTCTAGTTTTGGTTATGATATATTTAAAGCTAAGTATTGTCAGGCCTGTTCCTTAGAATTTTCAGAGTCTTGAACATTTTCGTTTCCCTATTTGTTGTTTATTCCATCATATATAAATTACACACACACACAAACACACACACACACATATATATATATATATATATATATATATATATATATATATATATATATATATATATATATATATATATTACATTGCCTGATATTTCCAGAAACCTGATAAATGTGTGGTCTTATTATTCCAAGAATCTATACAGAGGTCTTCAAGGTGGGAATAATGCTTCGGGCAAAGACGGAAGCCATCCCACTTTCAACAGAAAGAGACATTTCAGAGATTTTGGGAATGTTTCTATCGCCTCAAAGAATTACGGAACAAGTATTCAATCATTTTTCCATATGAAAGGAAAAACCTGAAACACCACACCTTTTATTACCCCCCCATATATATATATATATATATTGAGATAAAGAGAGGCATGGAGTCTTATGATTATTCAGATGTGTATATATAAGGAAAAAAAACATTCTGCCAATCCTGGTCAAAATGAACTGCCATCCGATTTGATGTATTACAGAGATATAAAGGCATATATTTTTTCGAGGCAAAGCCAATAGATGAAAACAAAAATTGATTTCACTTCTATTTTTCGCATATTCTTCTTTTTCTTTTTCGTCTTCTTCTTTTTTCTTTTACTTCTTCTTGTTTTACTTCTACTTCTTTTTGTTTTTCTTCATCTTCCTTCTTTTTCTTCTCTTTTCTTCTTCTTCTTCTTCTTCTTCTCATTATTGTTATTAGTACTTTTTACCTCCAGGATGTGGTTCACTTCTATTTTTTGCATATTCTTCTTCTTCTTCTTCTTCTTCTTCTTCCTTTCAGTTTGTTGGAGATCTTGGCTCTGCACAATTTCCTCTCTTTTGTAGATCTTCTTCTTGTTTTTCTTGTTTTTCGTCTTATTTTCCTTCTTCTTCTTCTTCTTGTTGTTATGATTATGATTATTATCATTAGTGCTTTTTACCTACATGATGTGGCCGATCCTAGCACTCCACAATTTCCTATCCTTTGTAGCTCTTACTAAATGTTCTCTTTTCGCTTATCTCTCCTAAACCTTGTCACACGAACCATTTACACAATCTCGTTAGATAGCTTTCCACGTGTCCTGTGTGTGTCAAATTTACTAAGGCCTCTTTCCTCATTATGCAGCCTAGAAATTTCAACTATCTTTTCCTGGTGTATATGTGTACTTTTGAGCTTTCTGTAAAACTTCCTTATCGCTTTCATGTTCAGTCCATGGTATTCTCAGTATCCTCAGTCTTATTACAATTTATGCTTAGTCCTTTCTTCTCGCTTTCCTTTACTACGTTCTTTAAGTGATTTTCTAATTTAATTTTTGTGTCTACAATCAACACTGTGTCATCTACATATGTAATGTTGTTAAGATCGTGCCTGACAATAATGAATCCTGGTAGCACTTCTAATTCTATTACCTGTGTTAAACACCGAAATATTTTTTTTTAAATTGACTATATTTGTAACTAATTTAAATTCAAGTATTCTGGCCGAAATAATTTCCAGTCTCATTCTGGACGCAATAATTTTCTGTTTCTTTCTGGACGTAATAATTTTCAGACTCATTCCGACCGTAATAATTTTTAGTCTCATTCCGACCGTAATAATTTTTAGTCTCTTTCTGACCGTTATAATTTTCAGACTCATTCTGAACCTAATAATTATTAGTCTCATTCTGAACGTAATAATTTTTAGTCTTATTCTGGATGTAATAATTTTCAGACTCATTCTAACCGTAATAATTTTTAGTCTCATTCTGGATGTAATAATTTTCAGTCTCATTTTGACCGTTATAATTTTCAGTCTCTTTCTGGACGTAATAATATTCAGACTCATTCTGACCGTAATAATTTGTAGTCTCATTCTGGACGTAATAAATTTCTGTGTCATTTTTGCACAAAACCATAGTTATGAAATTATCTCAGTAACCTTATTTATCATAAATACTCAGTTATTTTTACGATATGCCAGCTTTTGTCGAATTATTTGATACTGGAGTTTGTTTGGTGATCAGAAGTGGGGATCAAACTCCATAAGTATGGTCAGCCAGACAAGGTTCGCTAACCTTTAGTCGACGCCGTGGGGCCTAAAGCTTCATGTTTACCAGACGTTTCGTTAGTAATTACTCAGGGTAAGCAGCTTGTGAACTTTATGTTGTAAATCTACAATATATATTTTACATTTTATGCATTAACCTTCATTATTTTGTTGACTTAGGTGCATATTGGGCCAGAGAAGGAAATATACCTGCTGATCTATTTTATTCAGGGTAGGCGTTGCCAAATTTGTCTACCTAGACGGTGTGTCCCTGATGTTTACTCATGCTATAAATGACAAAATAAAAATGTAGTGATAAGATAGCGTTCAATTTATTACTCTAGATGGATTTTCCAAGCATAGCTTAGATATGGCACAAGGACGAAAGTATAGAGCCCCTAGTGAGGATCGAACTCACTACTGAGTCGTAGTTGTTCTGGTGAGACAAGCTTGTTAACCTTTACACCGCCTCGAGGTACCTAAGTTTATTACTCCATAAGTATAATAACGATTCCTTAATACTGGATGATTGTAGTTAATTTTACGCCATGCTAAATCTTGCTAGGTTACTTAACGTCGAATTTCGTATGTGGTATCCAGCGAGGTTCGAACTTACAACTAAGGATTGATGGTCATCTAATCTAACCGCGTTAGTCCTTACTGTACAACGAAGTGTATACTGATAACAAATTATCTATGCCATAACAATGATAGTATATTATTGTAGTACATTTGGGGTAGCCGGTTTATTAATTAATATCAGTAGAAGGACAATTCCTCCAGTTTATGTTAAGTAATGTGGCTCCCTGAGCCGCGCTAGGAAGTTTTTCTCCCCTGAGTCGATCCTCCAGATATACAAATCCACAATTCGCCCTTGCATGGAGTATTGCTGCCGTATATGGTCTGGCGCCCCTTCTGTTTGCCTGGGGGTTCTTGATAGGCTCCAGAAGCGGATATGCAATATGGTTGGCCCTGCCCTGGCGTCTCGTCTACAGTCAATTTCTCACAGACGCACCGTCGCCTCCCTCTGTCTGTTCTACAAATACTTTCATGGAAATTGCTCAGAGGAGCTGCATTCGCTGGTTCCCAGACGTCATGAGTTCCAGCGCCCTACGAGGCTGGCATCCCGCTCTCACCCCTTCACTGTTGAAACTACTAAATGTAGCCGTCTCTTCTACTCTAATAGCTTCATGTCTCGCACCTCTCGCCTGTGGAACTCCATTCCCTCCTCCTGTTTCCCTGTGAGCTATAATCTCCAGCTATTCAAATGTAATGTCAATCGACATCTCCAGTTGCCTTAATCTATCCACTACCCTCATCCTTTCTTCTATCACTCCTATCTTATCTTGCTATTTCCTGTAACCCCTTGCATCCTAGTGGCTTCCCGCCT